CACCTCACAACAGTCCTTTCTGAAATAGATCAGCAACTACCTTGTAGCCAGGGTTCTTGCGGGCTGAGCAGAATTGACCAAGGGATAGAGGCACCTCTACCCCATTGGCGGAATCATTGACCTTAGGCCGATCTGAAAACCAAGTGCAAGTCTTGAACAGAATCCAGTGTAGTCTCATGCATGGAGCTCCAATGTGCAGCCACAACATGTTGACAAAGCGGGAATCGTCATCACAAAGGAACCGCTGGGCTTTGGCATTTCTTTTCCTGGCCAGCTTCTTCCACCGTTCGACCTCATTGATTGGTACCTTCAAAGCCTCATCTTCTGCATCCCCAGAGTTTTCCTGCTCTGAGAGCGCTTCGGGACCCAGGTTACCAAACTGCTGCTGGAATGCTTGCTGGCCAATATCACTGAAGGACGCCAAGAGGACGCAGGCACCAATGCATGGAAACACTTTCGTCCACTTGTTTAAAGCAGGAACAGCAATTGGCCGAAGAAGACACTCGCTGAACAAGCCCTCGGCCTTGCCCCTGGCCTCCTCAGCCGTCTGGCAGCATCCGTTGCGACAGACATGAGCCGGCTGTCCTGCGAGGGCAAGGAATGCATACAAAGTCAGTTCGCAAGCTAACCAAGGCTTGGGTTTGAGGCTGTTTGAGGGCTTTGGCTTTATTTAATTTGAAGGTTCGCATGCCAGACGGGGCCACGTCCATAGCAGGGGTATGGCGAGGTGCAACAGACAACAGATGCTAGTAAGTAGGTATTTCATTGTCAGTATTCCCTGGCACAGCCACTGCCATAATAGAATAGTGAATAGTCAATAGCTTTACTGTTGCAGTTGTTCCAACAAGGTGACCAGGTGCCTTAAAGCAGCCCTTCCTATTCATAGCCAACTTAAAAAATTTAAGAATCTAAGAATATAACACAATAATCATAATACCATGACAAGCAGCTAAGCAGCTAGGCATCTGCATTTTCCAATACTAAAGACTAAAGGAAACGTAACTTGAATTTTATATCTATCTATCAGTCCATCATGTATGAGTATATAGACATGGACATAGACAATACAATACGACTACAGGAAAGCCGCTGAATAGCCCATGTCATTATTATCAGTCTATTCGATACATACCATTTACATTTCATTTGAATCGTTTGAACCGGTTTTGATACTGCATGGCTGATCCAACACTAACTAACTGCTGCCTTAGTTCAAACTCCGCCACAGCGACCACAAACAAGCAGCCCCAGTGAGACATGCCAATCAATCCGAAACAAGGACCTCTGCATCTAAATTGCAAGTGGCATGGTTACTAGTTACTAGTTCAGCTAGAAGACCTGCATCATCCACCAAGCCCCGGAAACTCGCTGCCACGACAGTCTTTTTTGGCGGCGCCTATTGCAGGCAACCCTGTGGCTTCGGCTCAACGGTAGCAGGCAGCCTCAGACCCCACGCTAAACAACCCAGCTCTCGTTGTGCTATACTGGCTATACTGCACTGCAGAGACTGCAAAGAGATAAGAAGGAGGCTGCCCAGCTCCGAGAGCGGCTCTTATTGAATTTGTGCAATGGTAGCACGCCAGCTAAGCTGGAAAATGGCTGAATCGTACACGAAGAAGCAGCTGCTGCAACTTCAAGGCCAGAAGCCGAAGCACTGGCGATTTGAGGGCTGAATCGTACACGAAGAAGTGCTGCTGCAACTTCGAGGCCAGAAGCCGAAGCACTGGCGATTTCAGGCCATGTCGGCGACATGTCGACACCAGGCCACCAGGTCAGAGACCGAGTCTTCACCTGCATGGGCATTATTTTATTTCGGATTGGCTGTTACTATGCACAGCGGGAACGAAAGGACAACTGAAGTCTACTACTTTGCAACTGAAAAAAATCATTCTATTGTCTATTGGCATATTGGTCTGTTGTCCGGCCTGGTGCGGTGTTGCTTGGCCTTCTCCCACGGCTCGGGCGGCGGATGGTACGACGGTGCCTCCCACCAGGTCAAATAGTTCGCGACATCCAGGCTGCACTTCAGCGCGATGTCGAGGCACGTTTTGCCCTGAGTTCTTCAGTCTTTCAGTGTCTATCAGTCTATCCGCAACAGGATAAAGCAATGCGGTATTTTGGCAAAATTAGCTTGGGGTCGTAGAACTTAGGGTGCTTATCAGCTAAAGGGTATACGGTATTCGGTATGAGTAGTTCTTAGTCAGTTAAGTTATTATTGAAGAAAGAGAAAGAAGAAAGCCTATGATCAACCAACCAATGGTTAAGTTCTACGGACGATAGCAGCCAAGACACCACCTGGTTCGAGATCTCCAGGTGAGCTTTGACCGCCTTCTGGCCACCACAGTCGAAAATCCGCCACAAGACACGCTTGAGCACGTGCATGTGCCCACGACCAGCTGCAAGGTGCGAAACGGTCGCCAAGGTTCCAGCACGAGTCATCAATGCATTGACACTCATGTGGGACACAAGCACCGAGGCCATCTGAACGTGGTCGGGGTTCGCCGACATCGGCTGGTCGGCGAGGATCATGAGGGGCGTCCAGTGCGGGGGCGCCCGCCCCACGGCCGTGGCCTTTTCGGCCAACTGCGGGGCCTTCTCGAGGAGAGCGAAGACCAACCGCATGCTCGGCACTCGTACAGCCCAATGAAGGGCGTTCATGCCAGCGGGATCGGACATGTTCATGATGGCATCGGGGCGTAGAGAACGCATCTGAGACAGGGCTGCTTCCTCCTGCCCATTGAAGATGAGGCAAAGAAGGCCCTCCTTATGGTCGGCCATGTCCGATGTCACCTGCCGCGACAACAACTGGGTCATATGCCGCTGCTGCTCAGTCAACAGCTCGCAGAGCCTCTTGAGCTCTTCCTTCGAAGACGGCTCTTCTATCTTCCCAGCATCCATGGAAGCATCCTGGGCATCGTCCCCCCAGTCCACATCGGACTCACCTTGCAGGCTTGCACAAGCTGTGAAAATTGGAATGCTACAACCGAACAAAGGGTCACTAATAGTCACTAATTCCAAATTCCAAAACGAGTCCTAATCATGAGCCTAGGGGAGCCTATTCGGATATGGACACCTACATCAGCTTAAAGTTTAAAGTTTAGATCCGCCACTATCATCATGAATCATGAATCATAACAAAGACTAACAAAGACTTCAAAGCTCAAAGGCACCTGCTGCCGCTGTGTCGTCGTTGCCAATGCCATCATTGTCATTGTCACCAAGGGATGCAGCAGGCGAGCTCTTCTTGCTTCCAGCCAATTGGCGACCCAAGTTGCCCAACTCTTCCACCATGGCCTTGAGTATCTCGAAATCCTCCTGGACAAAGCCAGTCCTGGGAGTTCCCACCGCAGATCCAGCTGGGGTAGCGACTTTGGGACCGCTGGAGGAAGCACGGGGACGAGCACCTTCCGACTGTGCCCGCGAAGATGCTGGAGATGGGCCCCCGGTCTGAGACCGCCTTCCAGCAGACTCTGCTCCGGACCAACCAGGCGGTGGTCCTGGCGGCTCTTGCACCCCGGTCTCAGACCGCCCTTTAGCAGATCCTGATCGGGACCGAGCAGGCGGTGGTCCTTGCGGCGGCTCTGGCACCCTGGTCTGAAACCGCCCTTCAGCAGATTGGGCTCGGGATGGACGCTTGGTCTGAGACCCACCACTGGAAGCAATCGAGACCATGTCAAAGGACTCCACCGTGGACAAACCACTTGCCTGTTCTGCTTCTGAGCTGGCGATGTTGTACCACGACGCTGCAGCATTGTCCTTGCATGAACTGACACCGAAGCTTCAGAGGAGACTTGACCTTTTCATTTTCATTTTACTTGAACTTATAGTCTGATCCCGATAAATAAATACATACATGTTAAATCTATATCGTAGAACCAGGAATCACACATAATAACAACAACTACAACAACCCTCCACAACCCGTCTGTGTTTCCAAACCACTGTCCTCAGAAGAGCTGGCTGCCTCCGCGCTGGGCCGCTTCCTGGGACGCTCCTGCCAGGGGCTGTCAAGCTGCACAGTTTTTCAGACTTGTAGGCTGCAGGCTGCTGACCAAGCTGTCTGTTTGACTAGACTAGAAGACTATATTATTAAGCCACTCAATTGGCTGGGTGTCTTAATTCTTAGTTCGGAATGTCAGAAAGACTCAGAAAGAATTTGAGAGAAGAACCCTTTCCGTGTCCCCACCTTGGGCTTGGGCTTCATGACAGGGCGCCCTGTGGCATCCTTGAACTTGAACAACGACCCTCGCTCATCATCGGTCGTATTGCCCAAGTCGCGCCAATCCCTGCCCACCTGGAGTATGCTGCTGTATGCATGCTGTATGAATATGAACTATATTATATTAATATTAATACTATTAGACTATTAATAATCATTAATTATATTAAAGGCTCTAAACCCGAATTCTGAAGTAACTTTTAACTATTCCATGTAGTTAAAATTAGACGTTAAGATCCTGTCTGTTGGTTGCACTCAACTGAATCACCTGGCCTCGGAGAGGGAAACCACGGCAACCCACCCAAGCGAAACGGCCAGAGATTGAAACTCAGCCGGGTTCATGAGGCAGTTGAGGCTGGGCCTGCTCTCATAGGCCTCGCTGAAGCCCAAAGCGTCCTGAGCTGGTCGGGTCAACCTGCTCAGAGAGCGGACTCCCTGGGTGGAGAAGAACTCGTGCATCTGCCTGAGGGCCTGGATTGGCTTGATCCGGTCCCGGCCTTTGCTCCACTTGGATTCCGGAGCATACGTGTTCAAATCAACGATGGCACGAAGTTGCTGAAGATACTGCTCGACATCATCTGCCTGGGCACCAGTCAAGAATATCAGGAAAAGCCCCATGAGAAAGCTCGAACGGTGTGCCCCGTTCTTGCAGCTGATGAGCACTTTGGAACCGCTGGCCAAAAGGGTGAGGATGCGATTAAAGACACCCACCAGCAGCCCGGGGTCCAGATCGCCGCAAGCTGCACCTGTGCCATCGTAGACGCCCAGATGCTCGATCCTGCTGTCCCGCACCACAGGAGGGTGCGAAGAGGCTGCCAGAATCCCGCTGATTCCATTCTCGGTCAGCTTGTCGATCTGGCCAGAGGCCCCAATGCCTCCCAGCCACATCTGCCCTCCGTTCGCGAGGTCGAGGGTGATATGCATGGGATGCCTGGCGCAGGACTATCATGTAATTATGTAATTCTCATACCATACACTAGCAATTGCTAGTTAGGTCGCCGATTACCCTTGCCCAGAAAACAAAACTCAACAAACACTTCAAACACTATCAGAATTCAACATCAACGTTGTCAACATCCCTGCATCACTCGCCTCGAGTTGTATGCATCCCAGCACACCCTCTTCAGAGTCTGACTGGGGCCATAGCTGTCCGTCACGAGTGCCTTGCCCAGGTCAGAGACCGCAGCCTTTTTTGCGGCCTCGCTGCGACCTGGGACACCAAACTCATATCCGGAAAGAGCACGAGTGCGAGAATCGAGCGGCGCAAACTCCGATGCCGCCGACATGGCTGCACGACTCCACGTGCGACGGTCCGAAAAAAAGCTCACTCGAACCGAAAATCTGCGCCTGATGTGCAGAGTTGCAGCGTGCAGCAAAGCTCCAATCCAGCAGATTCTTCAGCACTTCTGTAGCAGCAGGTTACACCATAACGGAAAGTCGCAATGCTGAATCACTGGGCTGAATATCTGAATATCACTGTCACTGTCACTGTCACTGAATGAGCTGGCACTTCAGCTATCACTTGCCACATGCCAAACTGGACAACACCACCCCATCCCTCAGTCCTGTCCACGGACCAGCAAAGAAGTTCTTGAACCGCTGAAAGGCTTCCCGGTGTGTCCCTGAGCGAGCGGGGTCAGCTTCGTGAAAGCTCAGGCAAAGATCGACCATATCTTGGGCAATTTCTTGGGCTTGACACCACTCCTCAATGACTGCAGGTGGTGTCTCCTCAAGCACCAACAACCTCTCTCTCAAGCTGGCACCAGCCTTCTTCCTCAAAGCCTTGAGCAAGTTACCCTTGTTGAGAACCTTCGAAATCGAAAAGTTCCCACCCAAATTACCAAGGAATTTTGTCAGCTGCTCAATGATATTGCCCACACGGTGTTGTAGGCAAAGATTGGGGATGAAGAAATGGTTTGGCTCCAACTGCTGGTCCACAAATTTCAGAAGTCGTATGTTGGCGGCATGAGCATCTGATGTAGTGATAGTAGCCAGAAATCCTATGTTGCCTCGCAAAGTCTGTGCAAATCCTCCGGGGCCAGCACTCAGAGCCTCATGCATCGTCGCGGAGTTCATGACAGGGCTGAGGACAGCGGGGCTGCGGAACATGTGCTCATCATGCACCACGTCACTGCCCTGGGCTCGATAAGTCAACTGAGCATGGGAACCGAGGATGGAATACGAGGCTCTTATACCATCCTGAAAGCTGAGTTCAAAAGTTGACTCGTCAAACATGATGTTCTTGATGGCATACAACAACTTCAGCGGCTTTGTCTCTTGACTCAGTTCCGATTCCAATCTCTTGAAACCCGACCTCTGCCCACTCATGATGGCTTCTGCAACAACGCTGCGACTTCTTGATGCATGAACGAAACCGGCACCTTCAATCGAGCTGGCAAGTTGACGGCAAGCACTCTTCTCGTCACTTAACCCAGCTCGGAGAATGGCAGGGACCGACCAGGTTTTCCATCCACCTGAGCCTTGCGAGTCTTGCCGCTGCAGTCTATGCTCATGTAAGGGCATATGGTAGTCGGCATTTCGGCTCCGACCACTGGTGTTGTATGCCCTAGCCTGTGTGTCCAGCAATGCTTGTTGCTTAGTCAATTTCTTGACTTTCTTGCCTGCCTTACCAGACCTGAGGCCGAATTTCAAGCATTTCCATCCAGGTCGGAGACCGGCAGGCTTGGAGTGCTGGGGCTTCGAACCTGAACTAGCAGCAGCTGCCTCCGCATCTGTCTGCGTTGCATCGCAGAGAATCCCCAAAACAGCATCCACGCCGAGGATGCTTGATTCGTCGCTGTCCATGCTAGAATGCTAGACTTCGTGCTTCTATCTTGTACCAGGACCACTACCTCGCAATGTAATGTGACATGTGTCCGTCTACGATAATGATGTCATCTGAGCTATAACTCATAACCTCAAGTATATGTGCTGTCATACTGTACTGTGTTTGAACTGCTGTGTTTCTGTATGTACTTACATCGTTATCGGACCAATGGCCAGTGGGCAATGAAACAAAACAAAACAAGGCAAGCCAAGCAGCTGAGACCCCAGAACCCGAGCGCAAGGCAGTGGCAAAGGACATAGACATAAACAAGATCTTAGACATGTGTCTGTGTTGACGGTTGACTGCATATTCCTTGTCGTCATAAAACTACAAAATAAAAGTTCTGAGATTCTTTAAGCAATTAAAAACAGCAAAATGAAAATTCGGAGATTCTTTAAGCAATTAAAAGACAGCAAAATGAAGTTCTGAGATTCTTTAAACAATTAAAAAGCAGCAAAATCTAATAAAGAAGTTTCTACAAACTTTCCAGACTTTCTCAACATTCTCAACTTTTTTCTTTTTTGTGGTTTTGGTGGTTTTAACTTAAAATCACCCACAGGCCTTTTTAAAAACACCCAAGAAGTAACGAATGTGTAGGGTTCCTTCCCGCCATACAAAGACAGCACAAGTTCTGTAGTCCCCTGCGTTGCCCGGGGGGCGCGGGGGAGTACAGGCTTTGGGCACTTTCAGGCCCCAAGCCTTCCAAAACCTGTACTCCCCCGCGTCCCCGGGCCGGCAAC